TCTCCATAATTTTATTTAAAATAAAGTCTTTTTCAAAAAGAGAAATTATGAAAAACTGTTAGAAATTTCAAGGAGCAAAGATTTCATTTAATAGAATTCTTACTTTTGCAATGAAAATATTTTTAAAACTATTGAAATAGCGGAATTTATTTTATCCTATTTTAGCTCGAGGAAGGGTAAAAATTTAATTACTTTATTACTAGCGACGTTTCGGAACACCTGTCAGAAAGCCTTCCGAAGTTGTTCTTACAATCAGTTGATCTCAGAGCTTCTATTTACATTCTTAAAATTAAAATAGAAGTAGAATATTTCTAGCGTTTAAAAATTTAAATTTTGTGATAAAAATCTAGCTAGTTCACAGAACGGAGTGCTTTGAGAGGAGCCGATTAGAAAACGGTGATGAAATTTTTTATAAGCACTTATAAGCCGAAAGTATCTCTTCGGTGGTCTTTACATTTAATCACATAAACGTCTGGAGGAACGGTCGCCCGCGCTTATATGTCTCTATTAAAGCGGTGAAATCGCGCGGTTTCTTCCCAGGTAAACTCGTTCGAGATAACAGGCTCTCCGGTTGATTCACCGAGACAGTGCACGGCACCGACGGACACACGCGTTTCAAGACCCGAAAGGATCCACCGTACACGAAAGGACGCGCCTGCGAGATAATTGGTGGGAACCGGATTCCGGGACGAGTTAAGACCGCTCTCGAAGTAATTAATAGGTCCACCAATGGGCCAGCCAAGTTTATGTTGGTAGCGAAATAGTGCACCCTTCGCGGCGACCTGAACGAAAAATTGCCTCTGCGGTAGAGATAATTTTGCGGACGGCGTATCTCTTTTGTCTAACACTAATGGAAGTTATTTTCACGAACAATTTATTCATTAGGGCTCGTTGTAATTACGATCATAAAAATTTCAACGTTTCGCATTCCTCGTCAGCGGACTATGTATAGCAATCGAACAGAATTCCTGACATCGATAACTATTAGACTTGTAGATTAGTTCAGAAACTGTCGGGCATCGAGAGATTATTCATTTGAAAGCCACGAGAAATTTCCATGCTTTAATATCACCGGAGATAACATCACCGAGGGATCTTCGATTGAAGCACTTCTTGAAACGATCGAGAGATAACAACGGCGCGTCCAGGAACTCTTCGAAAATTCGCTTAGTCGGCTGGAAAAATTACTCCGCTTGAAATAGACTGCCTAAGCAATAATTGTGCACCGGTAGCGTATAAACAACCGTTTTACGCAGATAATGTATAATTTAGGCACATGTGGCTTTATAATACTACGGTTTCTCTTTTTCTTGTTCAGTGAACTGTAAAAGAGTCTTTTTCATTCGAGTGCAGCGCTAATAGCGCGAACGCTCTCAACTTTTTTAGCTTTAAATTCTTTTTCCAGTTTTACGTATGTAAAATTCCTATAATATTTTTATAAATTTGTAATTAATATTAATTCTTTATTTGAAATTTGTGGCAGGAAGCACGAGTTTTTTCACAATCAGAGACAAAATTTTTTACACGCGAAATAGGAAGCTGCACGAGTAACCGTTAGTTCCCGATTTTTCTCAGCTGCAAAATGCAAAGATTATGGCTTAGGAGAGTTAAAGTTAAGCGAATTTACCGGTTTCTAAGCGAGAAACGTATCGCGCGTCGGATCACTGAGCAGTAGTATACGATTGAACGCGGCGTCTCTTTTTCTTTGTCTTTTCTTCATCTCGTTTCCTACGGATAAGTCCCTAACCGTCGCGACGGGGGAAGAGGAGGCTCGATCGGTTCGTGCTGGTGCGCCGGTTGTGTGGATTGGCGAGAACCGGATCCGGGGGGGAGCTAGATCCCCTCGGGCGACGAGGAGGACGATCGGCCGGCCGGCCGGCCGGACTCTCATACCACCGAAGTACATAAGTATCGGGCTATCGCGCGCGTTCTTGGCGCGGTCAACTTGGTCGCCGCGATCTCGACGTGGACCGACGAGCGGATAAACTCCGCGAAGACTGGATGCGAGGAGAAGAGGGATGTGCTCGTGCACCGCGTCTTCGATTGCACGGTGCGTCGCGGACTAAAGTTTCCCGGCGCGATCGCCCGCCCCGAGCTGTGCACGCGAGTTTTCTGCGCACACAAGCATTTCGCCATTTGAATATTCCCTCGGCCGCTCGCGTCGAATCTAATGGCATTTAATGAAGAGATTAATCGACGTTATAATTCGATGTTGAAATCGAGTTGACAAGCGAAGAGTTCTGCTCGAGCTTGAGACTGCGCTTTTGAAAAATGAAAATTGCCTGTAATAAATATAATCTTCTTTCCAAAAAGAAAAATGTTAATTGAAAACGATTTTGAAGATATTTTCAGATCTGTATCTCTGGCACAATTTTTAGATCTTTCAGCGAAAGTGTTCTTTTCGTGTAGCGCATTGTAAGTTTTATTCACACATTTCTGTTAATTTATTACTACAATTGTTTTTTTCTGTTTCACGAGTGATTCATGCTCAAATGTCAAAGTGAATGAAAATTCCGAACATTTGTAGAAATTCCATTGTATTTAACTTTATATTTTTTTATCGGAAACTTCAAGATGCGCTTTCTCAGCTCCGTCAAGTGTGCAATCAACAAATCTAAAGTGTAAAATCTGTACATAATTGATTAACTGGCGAACTCGTTGTTCTCTCTTCGCGGCGCGTTTGAAAAAAAATTAGCCGCGTTAACATCGGTTGCCAGTAGTAGAAAATCAGCTTGAACGAGATGCGGTTTGAGGATAGTTGTTACCGGTGTCACGGATCGAGAGACGCGATAGTCGAACGCGATGGGATCGATGCCAAGTACATAAATCAACCGGCTATGTTTATTGTGTGGACGTCGCGCACTTCTCTCTTCATTTGGAAGTCTTGCGTCAACCGTGCTTAAGATTAAAATGCTTTCGATTAAGACATCTCAAAAAAATCTCTGACGCAATAAAAAACTTAACGGCACTTTTTTTCGTACAATTCTATTTTTCTTTTTTTAGTTTCTTTGACGCCCAGTTCGTTCCGTACTAATCTTTCTGATTTTTAATAAGTACGTTTTGATCGAGACGCGCGTCACAATTGCCAGCCGCGGATGACGGGTTTTACAGTTAATCCTTTAGAAAGTGCTCGCTCTGGAATAAAACGAATAGCTCGTCGAATCTCTTGAGTTGTTAAATTGGATTCCGCGCTATCTGCGACAGATGCAACGAAGCGAAAGAGCCGGTGATGTTCGTGACCGGCTTCTTCTCGCGGTTTATGCACTCATGCTGATACCGAATCGCATTATGCGCGGCTTTAAGGTTTTCGATGTTCAACTGGGATCCAGTTTTATCAGCGTCGAGCGCCAAAATGGGTGATGCAAATGCGAGTGTAGGCGAAAGCCGTTTATCGCATGAACGGCTCTCGTCCGTTGGGAATTCGCAGCTTGACAACCCGGAAATTTGACCCGAATTTATGCAATGCAATGCCTATATTTTTCGTTTCTCTTTTGAAGAAAATGTATCAAAGAGAATAATTGGATTGTGAGAAAGAGAAAACGAGATATAATTTGCAATTTTATCAGGCAATGGTAATTTATAATTATTTTAGAATTATATTAAACTAATTTCACATAGCAATGTGAGAAGAATTTGTTTTGAACAAAATTGAGTTTTAAAGAAAGTTGCGAAGAATTTTCTTTAACATTTTATCGAAAATGTGGATAGATAATTATCTGCTTTAGGGTTTTAACTTGAGAATTATTATTTATTATTATTTAATATAGAAATAAAATAAAATTTAATAAAAAAACAGACAGATATGCAACAAGAATCGCGAAGGAATCCAGATAAAGATTGCGCTCTTCCGTTGCTCCCAGCGGATGTTGCATTCCTGCATATTAGACGACTCGCCATTGTTCCGCAAAATTGTCAAGGTTGCGTGTCCGAAAGTGCTCTTACATTGAACTCTATCCGACTTGAAAGTCCACTTGAGATTAATACATTCCGATTAACCGATTGCAGTAATAATAAGAACCGTAATAAGATGATAATGAGGCAACTAATTATGCCGCACGCGAGTTAAAGCCGATTAAGAGTGTATTCTTGGGCGAACGTCTCTATTCTGGGAGAAATTTTTCCGAGCTCTTTCACGTGGCGATGCCACGATTCCGTTGCCCGCGATCGCGCTCTCTCGGATGTCGAGCGTGAAGAGAATGCGTTTACGAGAAATGATATACATATACATATTTGCTCGCGGCGAATCGAAGCGCGATATGCAACGAGCATGTGAGGGGTCAACGTAAAAGTCTCACGGACGAAAGCCGGTGTCTTCAGCACCTCGCTGAAGGGGCACGGCCGGAAATAGTTTCGTTTCCCACGTGTGTTGCGCCGGCGAGGGAAGGTCGCGCTCCTCTCGCACGAGGGGGAGAAACCTCGCGTACACCTCGAAAACCGCCGTCTACGCCGGCAATTATGGTACTTCGCCGTAGCGATTAACTCGCGAAATAAGGCGAAAGAACGAGACTCCCGTCCTCACGTCCTTATATACTACGAACCTCCTTACCTCTACAACGACCTGTCTTCAGGATCGAGTTGGACGCCGCGAGGGAAGAAGTTCATCGCGCGGGACTCGCTTCCAATCCGTCGCGATTACTGTCACGTTTTTTTCTTATTATTTTTCTCGATATTTTCTCGTTCTAAGGAGTTCGAAGAAAACTATTTCGATTGGCTTAAAGAAGTGACGAAGTCGCCTTTACTTCTCTTAAAGGAGTGAAATTATTTTCACTGTGTTGATCGAACGAAGTCTTTATTAATTTAATGATGATTGTTGCAAGAATGCGTAACGAATCGTTGAGAAAGCACGCGAGAGTTATCTTTATTATTTTAGCAAAGTAAAATTTTTAGTTTCATGTTAATGTCACAGTAATTAAAGACGAACAAAATTACTCAACACAACTCTAATTATGAATTTCAAGCTAATCTTTTCTCAACAACAAACGGTTAATCGATCTTTCCAGATGGATCTTGACGCAGCGGTGTCTTAAGCTCGCGAAAGATCCAGGAAGACAGACGATCATGGAACTCACGTCAGAAAGAGGACTGCAGGATCGCGCGGATTAAGTGCCACCATGGCGACGGGATGGAGATGGGTGCTGCTGATCCTGACGATCGTCTGGACGGTGAGCGACGGCTATCTGACGGTGCTGCCGTCCGGGACGCCCGTCGGCACCGTCGTCTTCGAAGCCGGGGTGCCGCAGCTGGGCGGTCGCCGGAAATACGAGGCGTCCAGCGAGCGCACCGCCTGGTTCGCCCGGAAGCTTCTCAAGGTACACCCGCACACGGGCCGCGTGACCGTGGCGAAGACGCTGAGCTGCGACGGTCTTCAATATCCGCGCGTCTTCACCTTCTACGTCGACTCGACGAGCTCGCGCCTCGGCAGATCCACCATCGACTACTACAGCTTGCCGCTGAGGATCCTCATCACCGGATGCGGCAACGAGAATCGCGATCTGATGGCCACGAGAAACTGGATGGCGGAGACGCTGGCATCCTACGCGATGCCTAGCACGGACAGGTCGGATCAGATTTCAGATTGATCTCAATAAACATATATGAAGCGAATGTGAACGCTACCGAGTTAATGACTTGTAATTTCAGTCTAATTTGTTTGCTATAAGATGTAAATATTCTAAAAATAAAAATATTCTAAAAAATATACACCCTGCGAAGGATTGAGACTCATGTATGAAGATCTATTTACAGATTCACCGAGGTTTGCCTGCGAACGTCTCAACTAGTGGCACCTCTCCGCGACTTCTTGCCGCAGACAGCGTTGAAGAAGTGCGAAATCAGATGGAGCGGGGTGGCGGATCCGAAGTTTCTTGTGGAAGGCGCCGCCGGAGACTTGGTCTCCGCTACGAAGCAGTGCCTGGTGGATCCGTTGTGGAAGATCTCGGTCAACATGAATCTACGTTGCACGGGTGACTCGCGTTTAGTCGATGTTGAGCATCGGTTGAAGATCGTGTTCCATCATCATCAGCTGGACGACACCGATCTGGGTAGAAGAGTGAGACGAGAACTGAAGAACCACTCGCCGTCCTTCGTTAACCAGTTTTACACCGCAGTGGTGGACGAGGAAAAGGAACCAGAAACCTTCGTATATATGCTGACGGCGAGGGATCCCGAACACGGCGCCCTTCGATACTCTATGAGTTCGCTGATCGACGCGAGGTCGCAGGCGCTATTTGCTCTCGATCCTGTCACCGGAAACGTGACGACTCGCGCCAGATTGGACAGGGAGAACCTCGACGTGCATTATTTCCGGGTGAGTGCCGAATTCTCGGAAGTGAAAGAAGATGAATATTAATAAAGTTTTTTTTTATTTTTTTATTAATTTCAAAATATGCGAAATGCAGCTCTACGGTTGAAGTTTGTATTGCGATTCTGTGATCAAAGTGAAAAATTTTGACTAAAACAATTTCTAATTGTCGTGTTTGTTGCAGGTGATAGTAGTGGACGACTCATTTCCTCCGCGCTCTGGGTCGACGACTCTTCAAGTTAATGTGATAGATGTGAATGATCACGCTCCGAACTTTGAATTGTCGCAATATGATGCACCGGTGCCAGAAGGTATCACTGTGGGCACCACAGTAATCACTGTCAAAGCCACGGATCAGGACATCGGTAGAAATGCCGAAGTAGAATATTCTATCGTTTCCATTACTGCCGGTGGGAGCACAATACAAACAGAAGACACAGCGTCTTTCAGGATTGACCCCAGGTTTGTAGTACAGCGTGTTTCATTTCTTTCTCGAAAATGTTTTTTTTTTTTAATACACTAGACAACTTCTTTATAATATAATGATAGATTCTACACTGTAGAATGATTTTCTCTCTGATTTAAATCCTTCAAAAACTACTTTGCGGTGCCATAGAATATTTTTTGTAGTATAATTTCTCATACAAAGTAAATTCTAATTAAAAAAAAACTTTAAAAACTATAAAATAATTTTTATCTATAATTATAATTTTCACAATTTCTATTTCAGATCCGGTGTGATCACTACGCGGACCGCGCTCGACCGCGAGCAATACGAAATCTACAAAATTGTGCTGGGTGTCACGGATCAGGCGACGCCACCCTCGGCGCGGCTTAGCGCGAACGCGACCGTAGTGGTGCATGTGCTGGACGATAACGATAATTATCCGCAGTTCACCGAGCGCACGTACACGGCGTTTGTGCCAGAGGACTTAGACTACGCGATGAACCCGATAGTAGCTCGTATCCGTGCGACGGATGCGGACACCGGCGCGAACGCGGCCATTCGCTACGCGATTATCGGCGGCAACACGCAGAACACCTTCTCCATCGACTCGATGAGCGGCGATGTCACTTTGGTGAAGCCACTCGATTACGAATCCAACAAGAATTATAAGATCGTTATACGCGCCCAGGACAGCGGCCTGCCCGCTCGATCAAACACCACTCAGTTGCTGGTGACGGTCAAGGACATAAACGACAACGTGCCGAGGTTCTACACCAGTCATTTTCAAGAATCGGTGTCGGAGAATGTGCCACTAGGATACTCGGTGCTGAAGGTGCAGGCGTACGACGCCGATGAGGGCAATAACGCGCTCGTTAAGTACACCATCGGTCCACGAGATTTCACTGGCGCCTCCACGGAGAACTTTCCCATCACCGTAAACACCGAGACTGGCTGGATCTACACGACGAAGCATTTAGATCGCGAACTGTGCTCAAGGTACTGCATTAAGTCACGTTTATTAAATCAGAAAGATTATTTTGTCAGGAAAAGTGGAGTAAAATAATTTTTGAAAATGAAGAATATAAAATATGTAACACTCAAAACAAAAAATAAAAATAACATATGTATACTAATGCTAAAGTTTCATGATAAATTTTTTGATGAATTTAGAGTTCCGTTTTTTTTTTTTTTTGGTCTTTTCTCGAAACATTTAGTTAATTTAATAAATATTAACATATTTAAATTAATGTAATTTGTTAAATATTATTTGCTGTGTTAATTTTAGATATCAGTTTACCGTAATTGCGACGGATTCCGGCACGGCACCAAAATCCGCGAGCGCCACAGTGATTCTCACAGTGAACGACGTGAACGACAACGATCCTTACTTCGAGTCAAAAAACTACGAGGCCGCGGTGTCCGAGGACGATCCGCCAGGCACCCCAGTCGCTTCGGTGATCGCCACTGATCCCGACGAAGACGCCCGGATTCATTATGAAATCACAGGTGGAAACACGCGCGGGCGCTTCTCCATCACGTCGCACAACGGTCACGGCTTGATCACCATCGCGCAGCCGCTCGACTACAAGCAAGAGAAGCGATTTGTGCTGACGGTGACAGCCTCGGACAGCGGTGGGCGAACCGACACCGCTCTCATCTATGTCAACGTGTCGGACGCGAACAACTTCTCGCCGGTATTCGAGAACGCTCCGTATTCCGTCTCCGTTTTCGAGGACGCGCCGATTGGCATGACGGTGCTGGTGGTAAGCGCCACCGACTCCGACGTCGGCAAGAACGCCCAGATCACCTACAGCCTGGCCACCGACAGCGACGAGCAGACGGTCAGCGAATTCACCATTAATTCGCAGACTGGTGCGATTACTACGACAAAGACACTCGATCGCGAACTGGTACCCTCGTACTTGTTGACGGTAACCGCCAGGGACGGCGGAATGCCGCCGCTGTCGGATACCACTGACGTGGAGATTTCTGTCACGGACGTGAACGACAACGCACCTGTCTTCAAGGCATCGCAGTATCAAGGCTCGATTCCCGAGGACGTCTTGGTGGGCACCAGTGTGCTCAGAGTCGCGGCGACCGACGCGGATGTTGATCTCAATGGTCGAGTGAGTGTAATCTTTATATTAAAAAAAAAAAGCGCTAAATGATGTAATTTAAAAGTTCGCAGAATTGTAAATAAATAAGCCGACATATCAATTGTCGCTAATAATTATAAATTAGTTTCATTTTGCCAACAATAATATCAGAAATTTTTATTTTCAATAAATTACAGATAAATCAGAAATTTATATAAAATTTGTTTTACATAATATAAAACATTCTTTATGATGGTTTTAATATTTCTAGGTAAGATACGCTTTAGATGACAATGGCGACGGCGCATTCGCGATCGATTCGATGACTGGCATCATTAGAACTGCAAAAGCTTTGGATCGAGAATCAGTGGCGCGTTACGTATTGAAAGCTGCCGCCATAGATCGCGGTTCACCAGCGCTTTCATCCATCGTACCTGTCACCATTAAGATCGAGGATATCAACGACTCGCCGCCCGCTTTCGAGAACGACAAGATTATTCTCTACATCGCCGAGAACTCGCCGATTGGCTCGACCGTCGGTGAGATCTACGCTCACGATCCGGACGAAGGGGTGAACGCGGTGGTGCAATACAGCATCATCGGCGGCGAGGATTCCAACAGCTTCACCCTAAATATTCGCCAGGGATCCGATCGAGCGGAGCTCATCACTCTCGAAGAACTCGATTACGAGTCGCCGAAGAAGAAGTTTGAACTGGTGGTGCGCGCCGCGTCGCCGCCGCTGCGCTCCGACGCGATGGTGCAGATTTTGGTGACCGACGTGAACGACAACGCGCCGGTGCTGAAAGACTTCCAGATCATCTTCAACAATTTCAAAGACTTTTTCCCGATCGCGCCGATCGGCCGGATACCGGCGGTGGACGCCGACGTCACCGATAATCTCGTCTACAGCATCCTCGCCGGTAACAACGCCAATCTCATCGACCTCAACAGGACCTCCGGCGAGATTCGGCTGTCGCCGCAGCTCAACACGAATGTACCGCGTGTCGCGACAATGGAGGTCGCCGTGACGGACGGCATCAACGAGGCGAAGGCCACGATGACGCTGTCGGTGCGTCTGATTACCGACGAAATGCTGCTGAATTCGATCACCGTTCGATTGGACGACATGACGGTGGAGGCGTTTCTCAGTCCTCTCCTCGGATATTTCCTAGACGGTCTGGCGGCCATCGTCCCGTGCCCGCGCGAGAACATCTTCCTCTTCAGCATCCAGGAGGACGTCAACGTACACGCTAAGATCCTGAACGTCAGCTTCTCGGCGCGCAAGGTGGAGCCCGGCACGGTCGACGAGTTCTACAGTCCGCAGTTTCTTCAGGAACGAGTCTATCTAAATCGCGGTATCCTGGCGAGACTGTCAACCGTGACCGTTTTGCCGTTCGACGACAACCTGTGCGTCCGCGAGCCCTGTTTGAATTTTGAGGAGTGCCTGACGGTGCTGAAGTTCGGCAACGCGTCCGGCTTCGCCAGCAGCGACACGGTTCTCTTCCGGCCGATTTATCCGGTGACGACATTCGCCTGCAGATGCGCACGCGGCTTTACGGGCAGTCGCGAGGCCTACATGTGCGACACCGAGGTGAACCTGTGCTACTCGAATCCCTGCGTGAACGGCGGCACCTGCCGCAGACGGGAGAGCGGTTACTCGTGCACCTGCGGGCCAAGCTTCACCGGCAACAACTGCGAGATCTCGCTCGACTACGGCACCTGCTCGCCCGACATCTGCAGGGGCGGCTCGCGATGCACCATAAAGAGTACCGGCGGCTTCGCCTGCGAGGGCTGTCCGGTGTCCGCGCTGGAAAGCGTGACGCCACTCTGCGAGCTGAAGGCGCGCAGTTTCGGCCCGGCGACTTTTCTCACCTTCGCCTCCCTCAGACAACGCCATCGTCTCCATCTCAGGCTGAAATTCGCCACCGAGCTGCCAAATGGCCTGCTGCTTTACAACGGCAGATACAACGAGCGCCACGACTTTATCGCTCTCGAGATTGTCGACTCGAGGGTGCAGTTCAGTTTTTCTCTCGGCGATGAGGTGACCAGAGCGACGGCGAGCATTCCCGATGGAGTTTCCGACGGCCGATGGCACGAGGTGATAGTTTCGTACATCAACCGGACGGTGACGGTGTCCCTGGACGACTGCGACGTCGCGCTCGCGCTCGAACACGGCGAGAGGCTGGGGCCGAAGTGGGCCTGCGCCGGCAAGAACGAGAGGATTCTCGAAGAGCGCTGCGGACTCGTCACGGAAACCTGTCACAGATTCCTGGATCTCACGGGACCGTTGCAGCTGGGCGGTCTACCGGCGATCCCGTCCAGTTTTCAAATCAGAAACAAGGATTACGTTGGATGCATGAGCGATCTATACATCGATCACGTTTTCGTCGATTTGAACTCCTTCGTGGCGGACAACGGAACCAACGCCGGCTGCCCCGAGAAGACCGCTTTCTGCGCCTCGTCACCTTGCAGGTAATAATTGAGCAAATATCGGAAATTAATGTAAATTCATTTAATTGAATAGATTTTAGATTATTATTACGAGCCTTCTTCTTGTAGGATTTAATTTATTGTTAAAATTTTTTAAATTACGATAAATTTTTTCCTTATTAGTTTTATTTATTATATATTTAAAAATAGCCAAATTTCTTTTGTATTCTCAAAATTTAACTAAAAGAATTGATTTGATTTGAAAAATGCTTAGGAATTGCAAAATTTTGCGGTGAATTTTATTTCTTGTGAAAATTTTATGTCCATAATTTATTCGAAATGATTGTATATTACAAATATTTAACATTTTAATGTTCAATATTAAATATTCTTATTTCAATATTAATGATGGGTTCAATATGACCGTTTTATGTGCAGAAACAACGGCAAGTGCCGTGAAATGTGGTCAGGCTTCGTGTGCGAGTGCGAGGACGACTTCAGCGGGCCCACATGCACCGAAGAGGTTGGCAAGCCATGGAGTTTCCAAGGCGACGGTATGCTGAGCTTCAATCCACTGCTGAGACCGATCCAACTACCTTGGTTGATTGCCCTGAGCCTGCGAACTCGGGCGCAACAGGCGTTTCTGATGAACGTGCAAGTCGGCCAAAACAGTTCGGCTCTACTGGACATTCGAGACGGCAAGCTAGTAGTCTCGCTGGACGGCACCGACGTGATTCGCACCGCCGTCATTATCGCCGACGGCGAGTGGCATCGATTGGAAATCTCCTGGCAAAGCGGTCACGTGTCCCTGGACGTGGACTACCGCAATCGACCTGTGACCCTGCCGCTGCTGGCCAAACTGCAGGGTCTCTACGTCGGCAAGATCCTCGTGGGCGGTCTGGATCAGCCGACGAATTCCGAGTTCATATCCTTCAACGGCTGTCTGCAGAACATACGTATCGGCACGAATCAGAGCGTTCTCCAGCGGCCGACCGTCCAGGAGAACGTCGGCACCGGCTGTCCGACGGAGTCCGAATGCCGGAAACGGAACTGTCCGGAAGCCTCGGATTGCATCTCCCAGTGGCAGTCCAGCGAGTGCATCTGCATGACCGGTCACGTCGGTCGCGATTGCGAGCGCGTTTGCGATTTGGAGCCGTGCAACGGCACCGGCACCTGCGTCGAGGACACGAGCGACGCGAGGCGGGGCTATCGTTGCGAGTGCAACTCGCCCGAATACTCCGGCGACTACTGCGAGGTCAAGGCCGAGCAGCCCTGCCCGGCCACGTGGTGGGGCTCGCCGGTTTGCGGACCTTGCCACTGCGACGAGTCCAAGGGCTACGATCCGGCGTGCAACAAGACCACCGGAGAATGCTACTGCAAGGAGAATCATTATCAGCCGACCGGACGGAAGGAGTGTATACCCTGCGAGTGTTACGCGACCGGAAGCTTCGGGCCGCGCTGCGACAGCGAGACCGGCCAGTGTCGCTGTCGGACCGGCGTGATCGGTCGATCGTGCACCGACTGTCCGAATCCCTACGCCGAGGTGAGTGATAAAGTATATTTTACAAAATACAATTGTACTTCTATATAATTTTATTTCACCTCGCGTTCTAATATCTGAGATAAATTTTCTGCGAAAACATCAAAGTGAAATTTCAATTGTCTTTCGAATAAAAAATAAATTTCTAATAGGATTTAATATTAGAAAAATTGTTGATATCGTAATTATAATCTTTAATTAATACTGACTTTCTTTAATGCAATAGGTGACCTTGAGGGGTTGCGAGGTGGTCTACGACGGCTGCCCCAGATCGTACTCGGACGGTCTCTGGTGGCCGAGGACTCTCTTCGGGATGACGGCTATCGAAAGCTGTCCAGACACCGCCGAAGGCAAGGCCTCCAGATCCTGCGACGATAAACTGGGCGGCTGGCAGCCGCCCGATCTGTTCAACTGCACCTCGGAGGCTTTCATCGAGCAACGATACCAGCTGGCGGCTCTGGAAACCAAGGATCTTATGTTAAACACTTACGTGGCCGTGAAAATGGCGAAGGATGTTCACAAAGCGGTGAATATCACGAGGGAAATGTACGGCGCGGATCTTCTCGTGGCGGAATCCTTGCTGGTGGCATTGCTACGTTACGAGGAGAGTCTGGTGGGATTGAATTTGACTCACAGCCAGGACAAGGATTACGTTTCTCATCTCGTCGGCATAGCTGGTGCGATTCTGAGATCCAAATACAGGAACAAATGGGAGAAGATACAGGAACTTAACGGGGACAGTCCTGATAAGATCCTGGACGCTATGGCGAGCTACTTGAAGACTCTGACAGCGTCCCAGCACGACACTTTCACCAGTCCGTTCGAAGTGGTGGACGGTAACGTTGGTAAGTTATTTATTTTTTTATTAATATATTAAATACTTCTTTACAATCTTTAAACACGTGTGCGTCACATTACAGTGTTGGGTCTAGATGTCGTAACATCGGAAAGCCTCTTCGGTTACGAAGCCCCGGAATATATTCCGGGGGATCCCACCTTGTCGACGGCGAGACCGACGGAAGCCGATCGTAAAGTCATCCTTCCCGACACCTCCGATTTTCTCAGCACTCCGGCGCATTTCGGTCCGTCTATCAGCTTCCCGAAATACAACAATTACATGGCCGATCCCAGTAAATTTGATCCGCATTCGAAAATTCAAGTGCCTCTCAGCACGCTCGGCATTAAACCGCTCATGCAGGGTGAGCTGAATGTGAAGAACAGCCTGAACAATCGGAAGGCCGTGCTGAGTTACGTGCAGTACAAAGAACTCGGCACCCTCTTGCCGCAAAGGTGCGTTGTTACTTGATTATTTTAATTACTTAATTTTGCATTACTTTCTTAGTTCAATTTTGATAATGATATTTTTTTATATCACAGATTCGACGATTCGGTGTCGGTTCGATGGGGTGTGGAGGTAGCAGTTGGCTCGCCTGTGATGACCGTCTCTGTATTGGTTCCCTCGGACAACGGTTACGAGTCTTTAACAGGAATTCCTTTGCAGTCGCCGATCCAAGTCAGACTTTGGCTTAACGAGAACGATGATTTCAAGACCAGAACGAATCCACAATGCGTACATTGGAGCATGGCGAGAGGGTAAGAGAAGATTATTAATTTCTTACAAATTGAGAAATTATATGTACATACATATATTTCTTCGTCAAATTATTAAAATTATTAATATCCATTTATTCCGTATATTTTATAATTTATATTGTAATCGTATGTTCTAATCATTAATTTTTTATTGCAAATTTATTATCGATTTACTTAATTAAATGTCCCAATTCGTCGATTACATTTGATTTGGCTTTGTTAAAAATTCTATTCGAAGTTTTGTTCCATCACAATTTGTTTAAATGATAAATTTCAGCGTGGGCGAATGGAGTCGAATGGGCTGCACTACGGAAATCGAAGACAATTCTTTATCTTTCGGCACTATCGTGAATTGTTCCTGCATGAAATTGTCCACTTTCGCCATACTGACGGACGTCCTCGACCTGGAATATGTCCCCGAGCCATCGCTGCTGGAGGACGTAACTAGTTACAGCGCATTCATGCTTGCCTTACCGCTGTTATTGACCGCCCTTTTGATCCTGGCGTTAATTCGCGGCGGAAGCACCAATTCTAACAGCATTCACAAGAATCTGGTGCTGTGTGTTTTCGTGGCGGAGATTCTGTATTTGATCGCGCTCAAAGCCAGGAATCCTCTCATCTCAAATGAATTTCCGTGCAAACTGACCGCGATAGGACTGCATTACGCTTGGCTGAGCACCTTCGCCTGGACTCTCGTGGATTCCGTCCATCTTTATCGAATGCTGACGGAGATGAGAGACGTGAATCACGGCCAGATGAGATTCTATTACACCATGGGATACGGTCTGCCGGCTGTTATCGTTGGACTCACCATCGGCGTCAGGGCCGATCAATACGGAAACTTTTACTTGTAAGTTCAATGTAGCATTTTGTTCAAAAATTGTATTTCTAGTTGTCTTTGTTTTTAAAACATGCAAACTCGGAAAATCTATAATATTACTACTATAATGTTTATAGTTTTATTATTTTAAACTGAATTAAAAATAAAACAGTGTAAGAAAAGATAGTATATATAATAATTATATATTTGTAATAAACTGTCTTTATTTGAATAGAATGTTAATTTCTGATTGTTATCAATTTCTAGAAATTAAATACTATGAAATTTGAGAAAAAAGATAAATTTTTCTTTAATTTTCTAGTTGCTGGCTGTCCATCTACGAGACCGTGATTTGGTCTCTAATAGGGCCCGTCTGCGCGGCCGTATTGGTGAACTTCTGCATTCTGATAATGTGCATCCGTGCGGCGTTTACTCTGAAGGAGCATATCATGGGTTTCGGAAATCTACGAACGCTCTTATGGCTGTCGGTGGCTTCCTTACCCTTATTGGGATCGACATGGACGCTGGCAGTTCTCAACGCATCCGAGAACTCGCCAATACTATCATACTTGCTGAGCATTGCTATCGTAATTCACGCAGCGTTCAGTCTGATTGGCTACTGTTTCATCAACGGCAGAGTGAGAAGAAATTTATATCAGAGCCTGTTAAGGTGTATGGGCAAAAAGACGTCCTTGTTGGAAGGCAGCATGGGCAACGGAAGTAGCAGTCAGAACGTAAATGGCCACTCGGTACGTAAACTTAAGTTCGCGCTTTACAATGTGATTAATTTAGCTATTTCGATTTGAATATTACATTGAAATTTATTGTAGAATCTATAGTTTTACGCATCTAATTTATTTCTTAACAAATTTGTGAATTAAATGTATAAATATTTCGTAGAAAAAGAAAATGAAATTTTGAATTATTAAAATTACAGTAATTGAAAGAAAATAATATTTGTACAAATTTTTCCTTAATTTATACGATGCCGAAATAATTGCAAAAATATAGATAAATGTATTAACGATGATCGTATTTCAGCGCTCGGCGTTAGCTTACTCGTCGACCTACAGCGGAGCAGAATCTGTGTGCAGAAGAGTTCACGTTGGCGTTTCCACGAGTAGCACGACTTCAAGAAGTACAAATAAAACGGGCTCAAGCCCGTATCGCAGTGATACACACTTGAGACACACATCAACGTCCACGAGCAATTACAATAGTGATCGGGATCCGTACTTGTCGTCGAGGAGTCACCGGTCAGCGCTAAACTCTCGACAAGGTGCAGCTTTGTGTAAAACAACTCTTCAAACTTTAAATAGATTTTAAGTAAAATGTGAATTATCTTTTATTTATTTAATGTTGATTCGCTTTCGATATCTACAGAAAAATTGACTTTTATTCACAAAATTTACATCAAATAACTAGAATACTTTATTTTAATGTTAATCGTTTTAGTGGAAACAACGGAAACGCGAGATCAGCGCAGAGAATCGGAATCAGATTCCGACGGCTCGCAAGCGGAGGGTGGCGGTTTGGATCTCGCCAGTTCGCACAGCTCCGATGAGGACGATGTGACATCGAGGTCGCACAGGAATATGGGAGTGTCCACGCAGCAGCATGTCACTCACAGCTACCTGCCGAATATTCACACTAATCCTGCTGAACACTTGAACATACTGTGTTCAAACGCCGAGCTGTTCCCCAACATCAAGCCCATCTACGCCCCTCGGTGGAGCTCTCAACTGCCGGAAGCATACCTGTCATCGAATGGTGAGAAATTCTCTTGCGTTAAAATAGTTCTGAATTACGATGCAGCAAATAATTCAAAAAACATACAAATAAAAATTAAGAAATAGAATTAAATCGCATTAAATCATTTGAAGATATTCCACTTCTCTCTACAATGCATTAAGTTTTTGAGAAGAAGAGTTAACAAACGATACTATTTATCGCAGTAATGGACGTACGCGGCAGCCAATGGTCCGGCGGCACCATGTCAGACAATGAGATGGCTTCGAACAAGACGTCAAGCCCGAACCCGCTGCCGTATCCGGAAATGAGCTCGCCGCCGAAGAGCCAGCCGGACGAAAACTATTCGGAAGGTGAAGAGAAGGTGCACCACCTGGGCGAAAAGTACTTGTTCCCTTACACAGCCGAGGAGGATCATACGGTGTCGCCCACCCCGTACATGTTGTCCATGTCGTCGCGTATCCTGGCGTCCAGCATGAGCCACCATTCGCAGAACTCGAATCACGAGAATCTGAGCGGCTCTGAGCAGCGTTACGGCAGCCTGAAGCGCGGTCAGAGTCTGCACGGCTCGCAGCATGACAATCTCAGCGGTTCCGAGAGGTACGGCAGCTTGAAACGCGGCAAGATGGCCGCCTCCGCGGTGCTGGAGAACACGCCGGAATATATTTTGCCGATGAGCGGCAGGATACTGTCGAGCTCGTTGACGCACGATCTGCAGCACAGCAATGAACTGGCGGCGCTCAGGCAGCAGCAACAGCAGCAGCCGCATTATGAGCAAACAATCACTGAAACTGAGTAAGTAGTTACGAATTCATTATATATTATAAATATCATGCGCTTGGATTCGGAAGGTTTATTTCTGCAGATCGGGTGGCTTTTTAAAATAAATGCAAGGTGAAAGCTTGGGCTGGATTTTTATGTACGATGGATTTGATGTCTGAATTAAGTACAAAGATAAAAGAGAGAATATTTTAAATTGGTTTTTGTCACAGTAAAAGTTTCTTATGCTTATAGTTTATATATATTAAAAAGAATTATAGTAAATAGGAGAATATTTTATATATATTAATAATAAGAAATATTTTCTTTTAAAAGCAAAGTTGGAGAGTGTTGTTTAAATATAGTGCAATGTGCGAAAGTTTTCTAAATATAACGGAAAGATATGGCGAATTGAAATGGAATATGGAATTTTGGAAACGGTTTGGATGATTAAGAATAGAAAAGTCGTAGAAATAAGACCACATTGTTACGTTTGAATAAAAATAGAAACTTTTATATAAACGATTATTCAAGAGAAGTTTCCGTTCGCTAAGATATAAAATAATTTACAAAGAGCCAGTACAAATACGTTACATCCAACGTATGTAAAAAAGATGGGCGGCGATCTAACATACTTACGGCGTTATAGCATTTTTCCTTTTAGCGCAATTATGTAATGCTGGCTAATTAATTCTGATTTCTTTGGCTTCCCATTTTCCTTGCTGTTTACGCAAAAGGTGGCATTGGAACATTCTAACATAACTATCTTTTCTGTGATCCCTGCTTACCCTGACGACTGTCGATATTATTAGCGAGGAGGTAAGCTTGACAATTTTTTATATATCGCTTTGTAATCTGTAAAGATCTGTTTACAAATCAGTGATCGCCAATGCTCGATAATTCCCGATTAAATTCAAATAATTCTTCATTCTTACAGGAAGGATACTAATGCGGAAACGTCCGTCTGACGAAGTCCGTGCCACAAACGAGACAACGTACAAAGTAATTTAGCTTACACCTAATTTAAGTGTCCAACGCGCAATAAAGACTCGAACGATCCTCGATATATATTTTAAGAAGCGGCCATGACTGTGTACTTACATACTTAGCCATATTAATTAGCATGTATGTGTGAGTACCTGTTCATATATATTGCATATGGAAGGTCCGTCGGAGTAATTCTGAGAGGTAAATGTCGCACTGAAATATTTTCCGATAATTTAATCAAATTAAAATGTTGAAAAATTATATCATTAAACGAATATTCAAAATATCCGCTTGTGTCACATCGGAAAATGTCGCAGTGTCACGTTTATTTCGTCGCAATTGAAGGACTCGTTGCAAGGAAGAGGTGAATTCGTAATTTATAAATTTTATTTTCGATAGAATTTCGCATTGAAAATAGACGTTGCAAATTATAGATTCACCTCGTTTGCGCCGAATCGTCTGACCGCTCTGACCGACCCGACACAAAATACTCCTGCGCTTAATTATTACTTTTGACTTAGGAGCGGCTCGGCCCCGCATTGCGAATCTCCGATTCTCAATGAATGATCCTTGCCGCTGATTTGGCAATGGCGTTCGGAAGAGCACGGAGAACAAAAATGATCTCTAAGCATTGTCGCATACTCATTAGTCTCATTCCATCGTACATTTAGGTTCTCTCTATTCTTAAGCTCAATATTGTGCAATGTATACATTCCACTGCCTGTCCTTTCTCTCGTATATATGTATATGTATAATTTTAGTTTCATTTTTTTTTATATAGAAGTTTACAATCTTTTCCCTTATTTTACATGCCATGAAGATAAAGACGAAGAAGAAGAAGAAGTAGCACAAATCGAGAAGCGTACTTTTCGTACTTTTGTATATATGCTTATACGACAAATCGAACAAAGAATGAAATACATAATTTATATACTCTTCAGCATCAGGTGACGATTGTCCTACAACCCTCATCGCGATTCCTAACTGGAACATCGATAATATCATTCCACGCAGTCTGCAGCAGTTGTGTCGTTGATTTAAAAATTACCTTTATTTTTCTCATCGAAAATATAAATAAATTACAAAATATAGTGTGCGGATTGATATACTCGGAAGAGCTCGGAAGAGGTCTTTAACGTAAAGTCGATATATGTATATCGCGATTCGATCGCCGATCACGTCCGGAACGTCGATACAGATTCGACGGTGAGCTCCTCGCTGGACGTTCTCGGTGCTCAAGAGCGATTGGTACACATCCGTCCTCACTTTTCTATCTCTCTACGAAGGTACGAATATACGCGGGTTGGATAACGGTCTGTTTTCGTCTTACATAGTTACGGTAGTTAGTTTGATCTGATTTCAGGTAGTTTACGATTCACTATCAACTACATACCGGGTGATTTGCAAAAAATCGAAGACCTCTGAATGATATAATCCGAGTCCGTTTCTCCACCCGTTTAGACATGACAACGACGACGACGATTCTTACACTTATCTTAAGTTTACCGTCTAGAAAGAGTCCGCTCGACGATCCGAGGGACACGAAACGAGTACAGGATTCGCGCCTGACCATGATGGCACATACACATCACTAAGGACTACTCGCTAAGGACTAGGGAGAGGATATATCGTCGCTACACAGTGCTCTCCGCGTCGGACGCCACGGAGAGCGTCTGCATCTTCGGCACCGAATAGTTCTCGGAGTGTGCGTGGCTCTGTGTTCTGTTCACTCTCTCTAGAGTCGAAGGGGCTGACGGAGTGTCCTGATGGGCTTTGGGAGGAATCGGTGGAGGACTCACCTGTAAAATAAAGCGCAAATCGACCTGATTCATAAATGTGAAATATTTTAATAATTCTATTAATTTTATATTAGAGATATAAAATATTTTCTACTGAAATAAAGCCAAATAGAGCAAAAAAATTAAAAATTCAGAGGGATTTTCAGGTAAGTTACAGTTTAATCACCAACATATCCAATTTTAAAACTTCAAGATTATGTTTAGTAATATTTTAAAGAAGAAATATTATATTTTACTCCGAACTTTTTTTATTGTACATTTCAATATTTTAATTTTTGTACTTATATCGAAATATATCTAACTGTATATTTTGCTTTTAATTTTTTACCTCTTGACCAGATAGAGAATGCGAGCCTTGGAATGTGCCGCTGGCAAAGCTACCGGTTGAAACATTGAGCGCGCTTATCACAGACGGTGGCGAGATGTTCATGATATCGTTGCAACGGGAACGCGGCTCGAAATCCTCGTAACCGAGGTTGTTCAAATTCGTCAAATGCGACTGAAAATCGAGTAAACTGGCTGTAGAAATGCCGCTGTCACGCAGATCATTCGGCTCGCTTCTCGGCTCGGTGATTTCGGAGTCGTCGTCGGTGCTCCATTCAGTGTTTGTGCGTTTGTGCGTTAAACCGCGTTTCGGAGGCGCCGGTGGCACCATCGTGTTTGTATTTGAGTCTCTCTTGTCCGACACTGAAACAGAAAGCGCTACGTGCACGAATCGCGATGTAACTTCCTTCAATACTTACTTCGGCAACATTACGCCTAATTCATTATTTCTAATTTTAAAAAATAACCGATACTGAAAACACATAACTGCTAATTTAATATATCATATTTCCAATTTCTGCAATTCAAACTTAAAATTCTTGCAAGTATTATTCTTAAAATTTTATTTTGTGTTATACTTTAATATTCCGTTATTTTTTTTTAAAGAGGCTTCAATTCCAAGTCTTTTAAAATCTAAGAATTAAAGTTGCAAAAATCTAAGCTTTACAAATTATTTTTCATTTTTTTTATATTACAGACATTTACAGTGATAACTCACAATGGAAAATTATGAATAATTTTGAGAAAAACGTTGAAGATGAAAGAGAGCTTAACTTACTGCAACCTCTAGGCGGTAATGGCGGAGCGGGCTCGGGTCCCGGTTCGCTCCAAGAGCTTCTAAGACTGCTTTGATCCACACCGTCAGTAGGCGTAGGCAAAGAATGCCTCAATGGCAGTTTCGGACTCAGCGGTTTACTGAGAGATCGCTGATGCGTGGGTCTCGGCGGGGTTGTACCGTAACCGACGGAACGCGGGCGAACTTCTCGCTGCGGAATAGGCGGTGGCACGCCATCCACCCTGGTGTAAAAGCCTTCGTCTTCCGGAAGACCATCGCTGTCGGCGTGCGAGGCTCTGGACCCGGCGGTCTCCAAAGTGGCCGGGCGCTGCTTGTCGTTGATTGGCAGAGGTGGCAGCGGCGAACTAGAAGAGCAAGCATAATTAGGACAACGAACTCTAATACTCTGAGGCGGACTTTCAACGCAGTTAAAATACATAACAACCATTAATATTCACATAAAATATTTCAAGACAAAACTACAGAAAATTTTATATACTTTGGAATTAAATATATTAAAGACGGACTGTTTACCGAGCTCTACGATGCACGTGGGATACATAATATGTAATTACTTCACAATACTGTCTTGATGAATGGTCCTCTGCCTGGCCAGTGGGCCGAGGCCTTGCTTGAGCTGCGTGAATCTTTCGATGAGTCTTTTGTGCAGCGGTTGAACGCCGGCCGGTGCGATCTGGCCGTGCAACACAAGACCGGACTCCAGCACGCTCATCTGATCGAGGATCAAGCCCTTCAGTCTGTTCACGTGCGGCACCATCTCCGGATTTTGCCGGGCGAACTCCGGCGTGAGGAAGGCCTCCTGGTATTTCGTGATGCCGCCCATCACATTGGCGTCGATGATACCCTGCAATCGCATGCTGAACGGGTTGATATTCCTGTGCGGCTCTGCGGTGTACTGCGCCATCAGTCGCCTCAGCTCCCTCTCCACACTCTGCATCGTCTCGCAGGCGTATTGCACCGGCGCCAGCAGCTCCGATCGTTTCTCGATCACTTCGAACCATCTGAGGATCCCCGGTAACTTCGCCTCCGTCGTCAGCGTCGTTCGCTCGATCCACAATGATTTGAACTCGTTCTCGCGATCCACCGGACCACGATGCAAAGGCCGGTCGAATGTGAATTTGCGCACGTCGTTCACCAAATAGAAGGCAACCACGCGTTCCGGAACTTCGACGTCGCTGCAAGCTAGGCTGCCTTCCTCAGGGATCGGTTTCACGTTGCAAATTTGAATATCTGCAAAAATGTGCAGTAAATGCGATTAAGTGATATGTATTTAATAATTGAAGATTGATTTTCAAATTATTATTTTCAGCTATGCTGCAGATGTATATAATTTGTATATATTTAATAATTTAAATAATTTGTAAAATAATTTGTATATGTATATAATTTTTTAATTAAAAATTATTAACACTTTGCGATGGAAAACAGATGGAAAACAGCGTCTATTTCAAAATTTCAACGTATAAATACATCTGCGATTGATTACAGCACGGTTTTAATTTACTTGAATCGCAGAACGCCACAGCGATGTATTAATAAGTCTGATGTCTCTTACATTGGCCTTCAGACGTCAGAATACTCTCGTCGGGCGGAGAATTCTTCATCAGTATCTGCGCACAAGGAAACTCGGTTTGCAGCCGCTGCGTGAACGCTCCTATTCGCTCGTATTCCAGTCCGCGATAGATGAATAACTTGTTCTGCACACATGGGAAATATTGTTGTCAAGTTAAATAAAAGCACCAGGCCATCGTTTTTTTTGAGAGGTAAATAAATTACAGATTAAATAAATAACATATAACTTTTTCGAGACGGAACACTTACTCTGACGAAAAGCGGGAAGCTGAGACCGTAAAATCCGACGCGGAAATATTCTGGTTCCGGGCGCAGCTGCGTCAGAATATTATCCAGGAATTTCGCCTGCAGCTTCAACACGTGACTGAGCTTGGCGTAATCGTACAGCCTGGTTTCATAGAGAACCGCCAGCTCCTTGCACAGAGGGATGCCCTTCTCCCAACATTTACCGCGATCGAGATAATGAATGATCTTGTGATAGAGCAGCTCCTTGCGCTGCCACTCCGGCTGCTGAGGATGAGCGTGATCGGGCGGCAGGACGGTCGAGCCCCAATCTAACTGGTCGGCGTACAGCTTCATCGTGAAGCCGGCTTCCGTGTAATTCTCGGCGGCCAAGTGTAGATCGTGCAGCTTGTAGATGTAGCGCAGGTACATCTCCTTCCGGTTGAACTCGTTCTTGTAGAAGTTCTGCAGGAAGAGTAAGAGTATCCCCATGTCACTCCGAGTGGCTTGTACTTCTGCGCGGTACGAGTGACGGTTTGAGCGGACGGAATAATAAAAATTTCCATCGGTCAGCGCGAACTCAAGTGTTAAATGTGCACACAGCAATCGCATGCGTATCGAATATATACTCGAAGTGTGCACGTGTGTGTCGCATAGTTCAGTTAATTGACGCGCTAAGAGTTTTTAATTATTAGTCATAAGAGCGTGATTATTGCAATTGTAAACTTATCGCTACATCTAGATTTTCTAGATCTTGCTCTAAAACGTACCAACAGATTTACGGTGCACGACATGCGCTTGTCGCGATTCTCATCGCCCTGAATGACGCTTCTGTAATCGAGGAGTCTTTCCAGTAAACGCGTGATGGACGTTATGAAGGCCGTTCCGCTTTCCTTCCACGTCGGATCCTCGGACTGCACCCTGTCCAATAATCTGTGGACGAGAAAAGTACTTTTCCAGTCTAAGAACACAAGTATCTACGATTAAAATCACACACGACTGTAAATATTAGACTTACACGGCACTAAGATGTTCCCTGAAGCGGCATGAAATTGCAAATGCGATGAGTGTTATATAATTCTAATTAAATTGGGAAACAAAAAAAAAATAATAGTAATAATTTTACTTCAAATATATTAAGCTGACGTTAGATCTTTTTTTGTTGCGGGTTTTTTCCGTTTTTGGATACATTAAAAAATATAAAACGAAACGTAACATGCTGGAAATTGATGTGAAGATGTCTATAAATTCGGATTAAGTGATTACATTAACTTACATGGTATTGAATAGCTGTCTGTACTCATCGTCGCCTTTGTTCTCGCTGATAAGAATGTCCAGCTTGTCGATCAGCTCGGACTCCACCGACTTGAAGCTGCCGCGAGCTCGCTGCTCGCACTCCATCATGTCGAAAAAGATGTGCAGAGTCGCTTTACGGAGCTCGCTCTCCGGCACCAAAGTGACCTCGAGGAAGGGCCCTACCATGCCCGGTATGAACTCGAGTTTACGTTCACCCAGGTGCGACCACATGGACAGGATCTGGAAGCCCATCAGCACCCTCATGTCGCCATACTTCTCCACAATTTTCTCCCGCTTGACTTCGGAGAACTGTTCGAGCTGAAGCGACGGCTGCGTGAGATAAGCCACCGCCAGGTTGAAGTAAGTCGACCACAGCTGCGAGTCGAAGCTGCCGTAGAGGAAGCGAAAGGCGAGCGGTTGCGCGAGCTCCTGCAGCGACCTCAGGATGACATTGTTAGCCTGCATCCTGATGACCAGCCAGTCCGGCGGGAATACTTCTTGACGCACGAGGTCGCGCAGCACCAGGAACACTCGCAGCAGAAAATCTTTGAGCGGCTTCCGATCGCCGGCGTGCATCAGCTCCTCCCAAAGTCGCGCGTAATGATACTCGTCGAGCAGCTGAAGCAATCCGATGAGACAGGCGACGAGACAGCCGAGCACCGGTCCGCTGGTGTTTATTACAATTAATATCGTTTGTATGAGCACGTCGAGCACCGACAGGCAGAGCGTCTCGACGTCGTGGTGGATGCAGTTGTTGACCTTGTTCGTGTCTCTTCCGCGTTTGTGCAGGAAGCTGAGTATCTCGCCCAGGATATCGGTGCAGGAGCGCAATTCTTCTCGACGAGCCAGATGGATTCGCAGATGTCGACAAACAGTGACCAGTAGCAGATTGCGGCTCTCGTCATCATTGCAAAACAAACTAGACGCCGTGAGGTTCTTGACGGCGACCAGCTTGGCCTGCGTCAGCTGTAGCGGCGGCTCCCGCGGCACCGAGTCCAGCATCGTACAAGTGAGCTTGGCCACCTCGAGGACCGGCAACACTGCCACGAGTTGCTCGAACACCGCCGCGATCGACAGCAGCAGTGCGATCTGCGACAGCAGCACCATTTCATAGGGAATGCCCAGCATTTTGTTAAGTGCGGCGAACACGCAGTACAGGTCGCGCTTGAAGCTGTCTTCGTATTGGCCGGCAGTGGCGCGGGCGAACAGCAGCCGGCTCTGAATGATGAACTTGAAGATGTACTCGAGCGAACGGAAGCACTTCATGATCGGCTCTTGCTTTTCCGCCGCGGTCACCCAGTCAGCGCAGTGTTGCACGCTGCTGAGCAAACCTTTGTACACCAAAGCCGCGGCGAAGTGGTCTGAGATGTAAGCGTCCATCACCGGCTTGAAGTGCTCAAACTTGGAGTCCTCCAGCAGGCTGAAGATAGACACGAGCACTTGGAACACGAGGCCAGAGTGAGCGGTGGAGTTGCCATCCTCCGTGTGGAACATGGCAAACAGCGCGTCAAGAATGTCTTGCAGAAATTTAACCAGTTCTTCGCCGTCCAAGCGAAGCACACGGCCGAGAGCCTCGGATATTCGCTCGGGATGAGCCTTCCACTGCAGCAGGCTAAGTAGATCGACGTTCTGCGTTAATTTCGTGCTACAAAGCAAGGTATGCACGAATACGGTTTCCTTAGGCGATCTGGAGAAGGTCGGTGGACCTGAAATAATGAGAGGTGAAAATATTTTATTGATTTCGTCTAAAAATATTTTGTATCAATTTATCTTCACATTCATTTCAAATTATAGATAATAATATGTATCTCTTTCTTTATTTTCTCGAGAAATTTAAATTTACCTGTGGCGCTCGGCTCCCTCGCGCTACTCGGTAACGACAAGTAACTTAGGGAATCCAGTTTCGCGCGCTCCTCGCATTTGTAAATATATAATTCATGCGGGCCGTCTTGAAGAGTGGCACCGCCGGGTTCCATCAACCGTACAAACGCGAAGGCAAAGAGTTTTTTGTCATTCTTCTCACGCGCTGGAACAGAAAGTTGCCGGCTGAGAAAGGTGAAAAAGGTGAAAAATGTTGAAGGGAGATGAAAGATAAACGGAGAGTGTTTGAGAAAAGACCAGAAGGGAGATCTCGCGATCTCTTGGAACTCACTGGAGCAATGTCGAAACTCGAAACGCACATGGCTCCCGTAAAACTTGTCGATGGGTATCGCCAGTCGCACGGTTTCCGCCCACGACGGACTATTGTGATGATATATCACCAAACTCTGATATTCAGAGCTACCGTCCGTTCCCGCCGCCCCAAACAGACACTCTTCCAACGGTTGGCCGTCTGAATCCAAGACTAGAATGGTCACCTAATTTTTTCGCAACACAACAGAATTCAAGTATTTTATTCATTAACTTTATTGCTGCAAAAATACGTCATTTTTCTGAATTACGATTTCCATTAAATTCATAAGAATTAATTCTTATTACGTTCTGTTTTGCAAATTTTTTACCTTGTAAAACTAACCAAAATTATTTGCAGAGAAAACAATTCTCACCTCGATATTCTTGCCGGTGGATTTTCCGCCGCGCTCGAATTCTCCGCGCTCTAACTTGAGATACAAATCGTTACGCACGTCGCCCGGCATAATTACATCCGAGAAGCCGAGCTTCTTCGTGAGACAGATGTTTTTGAACAGCAATGGGTTCTCCTCACGAACTTGAGATAGCTCGCCGTGCAAGATGCGAAGGGATACCACTATTCCATAATTGGGCTGTCCAGGTAGAGGAGAGCACTTGTTGTTGCGTATGATTTGCTCATGTAATTGATGAAATTCCTTCTCTTCCCCTTGATACACCTACAGAAGCAAGACTCTTTCAATATCGCACTCCCAGCTGAGTGATCATTTGAGGAAAAAAAATTTGAAGCAATAAAATTTGTTTTATCTACGTTTTTGTCGAGTTACACGAATACGTACACCGCCGAATTGTCGAAAATCCAGATTTTAAACAGCTCCAAAATAATATTTGGTTTTAGCTCAATATTAAATTCTCTCATCCACATTTATTTCAAAGAAGTGTGTCATAAAAACTGTCGGATTTTCAGATTTAAACTTTGAAAAGTTCTAACGTAAAATATGATTTCAGCCCGTAAGCTTCTTATTCTCATCTATTTACTTTGAAAGTCATCTCGAGCTCCTCTGCGTGTTCCTGCGAAGCTTCTGCCAGAGAGAGCACCGCCACCCCGTGAGGTCGCCTGTAGGTCGTGGTTCCGGTCTTGTTTTTGCTGGAGTCGGAGTACAGCATCCGGCCGCAGCGCATCACGTGGGCAATCATGTAGAGATCGCGGCTCAGATCGGAATTGCCGAGATCCGTGAAGATGGTGCAGTTGCTGTGCATCTTCTCTACGTAATTCGAAAAGCCTTCCTTGCTGATGCGAACGAGAAATCGCTCGCTCAGGTACTGCTGCCGCTTGGCGTCGAACAGGGAGAAGTAGATCTCGGTGTCCTCGCCTACCAAGTGGCCGAAATCCCTCATGCAGAAGTACAGGTGATGGGTAAGGACCTTCTTGTGTTCCTTGCGGCGCAAAGTGCCGCGCGCCGACGCGCCCTGCGAGTTCTCGGCGCTCTGCACGTGCTGCAAACCCACCCCGACAAACAGACCGAGATTAGCGGCACGCGAACAACATTATTTATTTAACGACGGATTACCTTAGCCCTTCCGCCGAAACTTAGTCTTGACTTACGAAGTTAGAATCCTCGAGGGCCAAAATCGCTGGGGAGCGCCGAGTATCAACGGTACAACATTCAGGATGAAGGTTCGTTGCTCAATTCGCTGTGTGGCGATTCATTTTTTAACCAACTTTCTCATTCATTCTATTGAGTTTGTATCGACAGAAATGGTAGTTCGAAAGGAAATTTTATCACGTTATAATTTATAATGAGAGATTCAACCTTTCATATTCCAGAAAATTGAATCATTGTATTCAACAAGTCGCGACGATTGTAAGCGGTTATATTTATATTAACGAGAAACCTGAATTCGCAGAAGTAACTGTATCGCTCCGCGCGCAGCAAAATTAAACGAGGCTATCTCTGTGGTCAGCATTCTAATGAGTTCGCGTATAATTCCAAGTCCCACCGTAGCGCTTATTTGGCGCGTTTCAGCCGTGGCTTGCTGTTTAATATTCAAAGGTCATGCGACCGGCTTATAAAAGAAATATTTGTTATTCATAATTACCACATGGTATAACTCCACGACGGACATGGTGTCCGGATCCACCATGTGAGAACCTTGACGCGGCACCAAGTCCAAGCCCAGTTTCCTGAAACACATCCGAGAAAAATGGATCGTCATTCAACGTCATAGAAAAATAGATCATCTAGTAAGAAATAATTCGTTGTCAATTGATGCTTTATTTAGAGAAATATGGGCAATCGCTTGTTTTTATAATGTGAGTTTTTTTTCTCGACGAATTCAGAATTCTTTTCGCGGAACAACTTCGAAGAGAAATCATTTATTTGCGCCAAATCGATTGTGAAACGCACAATTAATGTATAATATAGACGCATTGATGCGTCGCGCATAAATTTAGCGATGCGACACTTACTTTCATGCGCGTGGAAATAAATTACACACTCCGCGGAGGAATATTTTTAATTTATGCCATTAACCGATAGCCTCTATATTCATCGTCGCCTGAAAATAAAATTATCCAACCCCAGCGCAACAAAGTGCCTTACATAACAGCCATCGATAAAAATTCCTCGCGCGTTATTTCCATATCAAAGGAAAATGAACCCCGGTATACCAGGCAGTATTTCAGAGTCGAACTCATATACAAGATAAAGAACCTGAAGGAGCAATTTCGAGAGCTCTTTATTGATAATGTGAATTATAAGAAAATAAATTGGGTGGCCAATTCTTTTATTATGATTCAATTCGATAATAATAATAATAATAATAATGATGATGATAAAGAAGCTATAAGAAGCAAGCGCGAATGGGGACGCAAAAGAATGGAGAAAGTCAATTTCTCCATTTTAAGAGCTGAGAATTTTTCAATCAAACGTATAAAATCTTGTTTCCAGATGAAAAAGTGTATCGCAATCAATAGTGATTATTTTAGTTCATAAAAATTTAGTTCAAATCCTGCAATTCCGTCTTTAATCTTCCGTCCGATACAACAAAGCTCTCGCATCAACCTAACACACAAAGCGTACACTTTTTTTAGTATTGTTCTGTATTGATTTTGTAATATCTTCTGCGTCCCGATACTCGCGCTTGATTCTTTTTTTTTTCTATTGGTTTCTTTTTTAATCCGAAAAGCCCCGCAACTTTCGTATAAATAAATAACAATCCCTGCGATATTTACTCGACAGACCGAGAATTTCTTCCAGCTTGAGAAGCACGAAGGATCAAAATCCATCGATGTATTTTTGACCATCTCTCTCGAGACGGCCGACGAAAGGGAATCGTCAGGTGGCTTTAAGCAACCGGGCATGGGACAATACGTGGGCATGAGAAACAGGATTATTGCACGCCGCTGATTGGGGCGTACGTTGCATCACACTTTGGTAGATTCGCTTTCGAAGTGGGGCCCCGGAGAGAAGTGACTACTTAACTTCTCATGACCCCGCCGCGCCGGGGCCGCATGCCATAGGGCCGACGTGTTCTCGAACGCATTGAGGGCCCTACTGCAGATCTCTCTCTCTCTCTCTCTCTCTCTCTCTCTCGTCGGCGGTGGGCCCTCGCACGGAGGGCTCTCGCAGGAATGCAGGGTATGTACGTGCCAGTCGAGTACGCACTCGAGCCGTTTGTATATATATGTATACACGTGCGGTATGAGGATTTGCAGGAAGCCGGAAAGGGCTTATCGGAAAAGAAACGGGGGCTCGCGAGCTACGAATTCCGAGGAAGTTAGTAATCCTCGGTGCGAGTTTCTGCGGTATTAAGTATAATTGTATTTCCGTTCGTGTGACATGTGTGACGCTTCAAGACGATAAGATAAGAGTATAAGAATAATTATGCTGCACGATGATAGCAATATCGGGAAATCTAATAAAAGAAGTGAGCAAGTAGTTTGAGTAATTAGTTTGAAATTGAGATATTAATTAAGCGATGATTAATATATTCGCAGCGCATTAAAATCGTCAGTAATTAATATGTCAAAAATTTCAGCAAAATGACACTTTATTACGGCAAATTCGTTCTGCCATTATCACCGCGATGATAATTAATTTCGTGATTAATTGGCGGCCTCGAAATTTCGACAAAATAAGGTTTTATTGCGAAGAAAATTCGATACATTTAATTGCAGTTCTGCGCTGTACTGTTATCTATATAATCATATCATTAGTGTTCAACAGCATATTGAATTTTACGACCAATTACGTATTTATGACAATCCGCAACAAAATTATATCTAAAATGCTGTCCTATTTTCGCGAATTGCATTAATTCTGATCGTTACATTCGAAATATCGAAACTCAAAAGTGAATTTTTGCTGTCATATCAAATTGTTGTTGTCATAAAATTCTATTTATCATCGCTCATTATTTACACAAATGTACACCAATTTTCCGAAATATTAACGTCATTAAACGTTCATTAAATCCAACTCGAGCATCTGTTGAAGCTCAATAAATCTTTTGACATAAAAAATAATTGTTAAATAATTATATTTGAATCATCATTTTAAGATCCCGTTTTCCATTATTTTTCTCTGTCAAGAATTAATATTTACATTAAATGTTTGTCACAATTAAAAATTAATAATGAAATACTTCCATCTCTTCGGATATCGGATAGATGTGAATGAACGTTAATTCAGGCATCGTCCATTCAAACTATCGGCACAATCAGGCCTTAATCGTGCGGCGAAAGGCATAATAATTATTCGTCGTCCGCTGTTTGCGTAGAATCGAAGTGGCAAAGCGAAGTGTCGATTCGATTGTTATTAATCGCTAAAATCGGACGTCGTGCGGCAGGACAAGAATGGCGGTAAGAAAGCCCTTTCATAAATCTAACTTGACAGTCCTTTAAGCTCCTCGGTGAGCATTTAACCAGCCGCAGTAACGTAGTTATTAATCCAGCAGACACAGAGTTTAACGAGAAAATTATTCCGCACAGATCTTACACGCTGTTTAGTGCGCGCGACCAAGGATTAATTTAGCTTGATTTCTGCATCTATTCGCGGATCGTGTAAGAAGAGCTGTTCAACTTAGCAAGAATAGTGTCGCACTGATACGTCATTTAATTTTTCAGGATAATTGGATTTTTTTACGCGCTTGACGTAAGATAATTCGATCGATATTGAATGAAATATGTAAAAATAATAAAAAACAATATTTTAAAAGTAATAGAGGACAGCTTTAAATCTCCAAAATAAATTAAAGGATGAGCAACACTAAATTCAGTCAAATTAAAATTGCTCATCAACGAAATTGAACAATCGCTCAAAAGTTTGTTTATTAATATATAGACATATCTCTTGGATGTGTATAGATTTTGACGCAATATGACTGAAGATAAAGTATAAAATTCCTAAACTCTTTCCTGCGGCGAGCCAGCCCGCACTTTAACGAAATTCCACCCCGCTAAACGTCCGCGAATTTCCGGACAGCGATGAGGGCTCCGTGCAAAAAAAAATTAATTGACAATGAAGTTCGTTTTTAGAGAGTGAGAGCACGCCGGGTTGCCTTTCACGAGCTCGATGTTAGGGCGAGATTAAATTAAGTGGTAGGTTCGAGAGAGCCGAGAGGAGAGCGCGCGCGGCTAGCTCGTTTTATCTCCTCTTTTTTTCACGGCTTGGACTCTCTCGAACCTGAGAATTTCCCGCCCCTCCGTACGAGTACGTCACTGATCCTGGTGATTCGGTGTGCACTGCGATCCCGTATACCCTCGCCACCGCCGCCGGTCCGCTAGGAACGTATTCGAGACTTTGCTACCACGTATGCAAATCGGTTTTATGATAACGGCTTAAGCGAGTCAGGCTTATCTACTTCAGTTTCAATAGCGACAATCAGACAATTCTGATATCCAAGCCGATGTTTTTATTTATCCAACGGCGTGGAGCCGAGATCGTATTTAAAAATCTGCAACGCGTGTCGAAATTGCACGCGTCATCCATGAGATTGATAAATTATAATTGACAACGACAATCGGAAACGCACTGAAGAATCTGCAAGACCATCGTTCCTTGAACAATTGTTAACGTTGTGAGATTGGTTACCTTGTCACAGCGGAGCGGCGAGATATTCTTTAACGGAAAGCATCTTATATCCTCACGATACAATTTCTTACTAATTGGAATAATATTTTGTTTCAGCTGAACATTTTTGGGCGCAACCGAACGGCTACTGGAGTTTCAGCGCGCCACGCAGGAATGCAAATCGATGCACTTCACTCGGGCAGGATCGAAGGTGCTGTACGCGGTCCACACGGCCCTGCGGGACCCGAAAGGTCCCCCTCCTGGTCCCCTCATGATGGAATGCAGGTGAGCAGGCAGAGACTTCGATGCGTGGAGACAGGTTCAGGCAATGTCCGCCGCCACCGCCGCCACCGCGTCGTTGGGACCTATGGCCCATTCCAAAGATATCGGATAATATTCCAGCGGGCATATATCGAGGTTCGCTCTGCGGCGACGAGTCCCTC